GTCGATCAAACTTGTACAATATTGGTGTACTTTTCCGGAATGCTGGGTATTACTGCAAGCAACTTCATCACTTCTGTATCTTTAGGTCCATTCTCCCTTTTACGCTTCTTTTCTACGATAGATAACGTAATCTTAAATGAGCCTCCTCCCCCATCTGCTCTTATCTTATGGAATACATCGGTATTTCTTACATGTTCAACATACTCGAGTAAAGCCTTCACGTCGGTACAATATATGACTGCTTTCATCCCCTTAGAAGACCCCTTACTGGACTGCTCAAATTCGAATGGGAGATGTGTAACAGGAAAGAACTCCTTGAGCTTCTGGTTCATATCTTTTATCTTTTGGGGAAGATAAAAAGGGACTTCGATGCCCATTCCTCGGAGGACACTGCTTAATTGCAATGTTTTCCATGTGCTCAAATTGCATTTGGTTTGTATTAGGAACAAGTCGTCAACAGTTTCTGAAAAACATGCCGTACAGAATTTTGAAGTGCGCATCTTTTCGGAGACCAACTTCACTGAAGGCTCTCACTCAATGTTACACGAGTAGCTATACATACGTCACATTGGTAATTCATTCCACTCCTCGTTGAAACACGTTGACCATGTTTATTCTGATGCGCTTCTATGAGTTGATTTTGATCACTTAGAGAGAAGGAACAACGACTACAAATTGTTTTCGGTTAGTACCAACTTTTTGCGTCGATGTCCGATAGATAACGTTGTTTAATTAGGCAAATCGATTTTTCGGTTAGTTTTCGCAAATTAGTCTTCTTTAGGCATGAAGCACAAACTATGTCCTGATTGTCCTCATGATTTTTTGGTTTCATTTTAGCACCAACTACATGTGTATTTGAAAAGCGGACTGGATTTGACAGAGCGATCCCGAATGAACTTGTCAAAATTAAAAACAAAAATAAACACGTTGAATTGCAACACAGCAAACCTGTTGCCAACTTGCTCACTAAAGTTATTCATTGAATAAAAAAAGATTGTAACAGTAAGGTCATCCAAGAGACGTTTCTCAGTGGAACTGATAGCTATAAATCCATACAAAGAAAAAATACTAAACAAAATTTGAGTTCTTTTTACTTAATTTTGAGTTGAGCCTCTCACTTGCACTCGTTCTGGTTGTCAAAAAAAAAACATAGATTTGACCCAACGATATACTAGACGGTGTGAAAAGGTATTTTATTCAATATAGTCCCCGTTTAGCTCGATACACTTATTCCAGCGATTTTCCAATTTCATGATCCCGTCCGAAAAGTAATTTTCCGAAGGTCTGCAAAATACTCCTCCGCGGCGTCAATGATTTCCTCACGTGAGCTGAATATTTTTTTTCATGAGCCATCTTTTGCCACGCGACAAACACGAACTTGAATCTTCCCGGCACATCCCCACGTCCAGTTGCGATGTAAAACTTTTGACCAGGAAGCTGCTTAAAATCGAGTTTGACGTATGTTTTGTCATCGATCCTAGTGCAGCCCTTGTGTTTTGTCAAAACACTGTCGTTACAAGAGCCTTGCACGCTTTTTGGTCACGGAATTCTGCTTCATGTGCCGTTTCGGAAGTTTACTAGCTTTGTATGACTTGTATCCTTCCCTGGCAAGGATATTTCGCACCGTTTGAAAGTTGGCGTTGTACCTTCTGGCCACATCTCGAATCGAAAAACCGGGGTTGGCATTAACGCACCTCAACACCCTGCTGCGCTACTGACGATTCCCTGGTTCCAGTTTTTTCGAAGGTCCGCTGATTCCTTTCCACACTCAGAGTTTCCTCGTAGGTTTTGAGCACTCGACAAACTGTTGTTTTCGGCATCTTCAGCTTTTTAGCCAGCTTGGAACCGGACCACTCCGGGTTTTCCGGGTGTTTGTGCACAATATTTTTTTTAATTTCGAGTTCCTTTTGACGTTAGTTCTGAACGCGATCGACTACTTTGATCAAACTTTCACCAGTTGTTCTCTATAAAAGTGTAAACAAACCACTGTCAAAGATTTTCGATTCCCAACACTAATCCTTTGTGTATTTGAAAATTAATGGTTCGTGATGTGCAACACGGTTAATCGCACAGGGCTGCCGCTAGGAAGTACAGTATCAGCAAGGCAGCGGTTGAGAAAATTCTTCTTAAACTGACAACGTTCGGATCAGTGGTGGATCGCAAAACGGTGGTGCAGATCTGGAGAGGAGCTTCAGGAGCGTTAAATCCAAAGCACGGTACGTCTACATCGACCATGGTCACTACGCATGGTATTCTAGTCGCATAGAAGTATTGAGTGAAAACCCGAAACTTGATAACTTAAAAAAAATAACTCAAAAACGAAAAAAAAAACATCGCTAATTTTGTGATATAAAGGGCAAAAAGCCTAAATTTTCAAGGAAAAATATAAAAACATATTGCGGGCTCTGTCTTCAAGCCGATTCAAAATAACATTTTTTTTATATCCTTATATATTTCTTAAAAAGAATTTTTAATTACGTTTCATTTGTTATTTTGCTCTTTGAAATCGACCCAGCCGTTATGAATTTTTGATAAAAGTCATTTAAAAAACGATGTTTGGACCACCCTAATATGGAAATGGTCTAATATTTTGCAATCTTGCAGATCTTGAAGCATATTTTAGTACATAAATAGAGATCTGAAAAAAATCTTGATCCCAGAATGTTGAATATTAAATCCGTCACTTTTCTATGTTCGGCCTAATAACGTTTGGTCTAAAGATATAATGATATTCTGTCCCAATGGCCCTTCGACCTATGGAATTCGGCCTAATGGCCCTAAACCTCTTGTAGATTTCTTTCGATAACTGAGAATCATAAAAAAAAATAGGTTGTTGTATCTAAGACACGACCGTAAATTTGACGTAGGATTACGAAAGGTAGTTTTAATGTCACAGCAAAAGTATAGTGTATATTAAGTTGATTTCTCAACTCGTTATCAGAGAAAAAGTTCGAAAGGTTGAAATTCGGAAGCAAATTAGAGAGTTCTGTTTGTGAGGTTCACTGTCGATGTCCATGTAATACAAGCCAATCCTGAACGGTATGTCTTGGATACAAGCTCTTACTCTTAAGTTAACTCTTTTATCAGTCAAGCTTGGAAGCCAGTTTAGAGCAATGCTGTAGAAATTTGTCCTCAATATTCTTGGAGATGATAGTGGTGCGGGAATGAAATATGTATTAGGGGAAAACACATCACTCACAGAATCACGACGAACAACTGAATCCGATCAGCGGTTGAGGGCAGCCATGATAGCTAGCTGCTTGCGGGGAGCCTATCGTTGTGTACTGGAGAACACCACCACTCACCACACGATTGAATAAACAACGGTTGTTGTGACCAGATGTAATTTAATTATGAAATCTATGTTAAGGAAAGCGCTTTTCGCAGGCAATCGGTGACCATTTTATGATCATAGCAACACTTGCACATTTGTGCAATTTTCAGTAGTGACATTTAAAAAAATGATAAATCCTAAATTTTAACAGAATTGTAGAAAAATTTCCTATCGATTTGCATATTCAGAATTGAAATCCTTCATCTCTGGATCAAAATCAGACCACTTTCATGCCGCGACTGACATTAGATTCTGAAATTGCACTTCCAATGTTGCCTTAAAAATATATGATATGTAAGATTTTAACATATCGGAACAGACACCCGATGATGACCTTGACAAATGTCCAAAAATACTCTTTATCAAATTTATAGTGGTCCTGAAAAGAACCATTTCGTCGGGATGGTTGAGTAATGCTGAGCTATTAGAGTGTTCAACACGGATGAGGCTGGCAAGCTGTAAGTCGTTTGGAACGAGGGTGACGCGGTTGGCATAGATGGCCCACAGCGACTCACGAATATGGATCCCCATCAGTAGCGGTGAGGCTTCTTCCTTCTTCTACGGGGATTGGACGCTCATGTGGGCTGCAGCTCGCTACTTGCGGACAGCTTTTCATTGGGTCCGAAAGCACTGCTGCTGCTGACGACGACCGACCAGACACCACCACACACGGTGATTGAATTCGATTTTGAAATCTGTTTTAGGGAAGCGCTGTTTGCAAGCATTTGGTACTAATTTTGATCCCCATTGCAACAGTTGGACAATTGTGGAATTTTCAGTAGTGACCTATTGAAAATTAATATAGTGTTCAATTGAGCAGATTTGTAGCTAAGTTTCTAATCGATTGGCTCGTTTAGAATTAAAATCCATCTGCTATTGACATAGTTATATGTGATCAAAACCTGACCTCTTTTCGTAATGCGGTCGTTTTTGGTTTTTTTGAAATTGCACCCCAAAAAAGAAATTCAGCGTATTAAAAAAGAAAAAAAAACCGACTCGTGAGGTGCACTACACCAAATCAAACTCTGGTCTACGAGAACAAATATTAAAGCACATTACTAGAGTCCCTGCCACAAGCACTTCATCAGCCGATGACATTTGATATCCCACCAATTCCGTCAGACAATTCCTTGCATATTTCACCATTGCTTCCTGACCAATTCAATAGACCGAACAAACATCCTGAAACCTTCAACCACCGTTACCGTCGACCGTATCGATTGGGGAGTGTGTTATTTATAAAAGGCGAACAACTTAACTCGCACATGCCACATCCATCCATCCATCCATCCATCCAACGGCCAATTGTGTGTGTATGTGCATAGAGGCAGCACAAGAAAATTAAAATACTATTCTTTTCAACCCCGTCCTCGCCAACGTCGTCGACGGTTCGGTTGTTCAGTGTGCACCTCTGTGCTATACCTATGGTTCTTCACTTTGTTGCTTCCGACAACGTTCATCACAACCCCGGCTAAGGTTTACCTTTAATTTGCGTCATAAATATTATGAGTACATGATTCGGTACGGGAAAAGTTTTTACGGGTAAAAGATGAAAACGAGGAAGGATACGTAAGCAATTTTCTGTTTGTGCACGACCCAAACAACCCGTTTGATCCCCCGTCTATCGATTTTCTCGTTCACATCTAAACGGAGCATAAAAACTTACATTGTGTTCGGGCGGTGCTGGTCTGGTTGAAGTGTCCTTTGATATATTTGATCGTTATAAAATACAATCGAAAACTGCTGATCACTTTGCACCTTTTCTTCCGGATTGATTCACCGTCGCCGACTTGGTTTCCATAATCCAAAATCAATTATATTCGACGAAAGGGTTGGCAAACATCAGTAGTGTGTTCGAAACACGTATTCTTACTACTAATTCCTGGTACAGCTACTATTCTATTCACTACGTGCTCTGTGTAGGGTAAAACTTTGCTTCATTCAACACTTATTTCATAATGCTCTTATCTAATGGAGCCGTAGTGACCTTTACGTAACACTCTATGCCTATGTGGGTATGGACTATTGATCTAATTACTGGAACAAGCGACGCACGGGTAAGCATTTCACACTTAGAATGGTATATTATATTCTACGGAATTCAACGGAATCGAGAAAAGCACACTATCTAGCACAATTACAGCTAGTGAGACGTAAGTTGTCTTCAAACACAATCTTCTATCAAACTCGCACATCGATAAACACTGAACGACTGTCAACCGCTGGAGAGACCATCACTTCGTAGGCAATCCTCCGATAATCGATTTCCATGGAAAAACGTGCAGACTATTACTGTATTTACAACTCATTATCCTCCTCTCGTTGATCCACCCGCACTCTTCAATTCACTGGAAAAATGGCTTCCTTCGTCGATCAACTACCTCCCGGAGGGAGGGAGGGAGACGATTATGAAACAATATCCTCCGACTCCAACTAATTCCTAGTGGCTACTCGGCTAAAATTCACCGAAAACACTGAAAAACAATCCATCCACGGCTTCGAGAACAAGGACGCGGCAAACATTAACAATCCTTCTTCGGAGCAGTAGGTTTCTCCTTTTTAGAATGCACTTTTCCTAGAGCACACTATTTAGAACAACGATTTCTTCTAGCCTTCTTATTCGTTGCTGTTGATGCTACTACTAATGCTTATTGCTGCTGCTGCTGCTGCCTCACCTCTATGTACTGGGAGGTGAAGTGCCCTCTCACTATGTACAGACAGGTCCTCCCTATGTACCCAGGGAACATATGATCACACACACTCACACTCGGTGGTCGTAGCGAAACGCGGAGACATCGCATCAGGACAACAGTTTCTCGCAGACTGAACGGAAAATGCGAAGCGCTCTTGGTAATATACGATGAGGAGGATTTTCACACGGCTTTCTCCCGAGCGATGGGAGAACTGAGCAGCGGGTGGAAAATGCTCCTTCCGAGAGTGGACGGGGAGATTCGGGAGATTATGGGAACACAATTTGCTGTTGAGTCAGGCCGGGAACGGATACAACAGTTGGTTGTTATGTAAACAAGGTCTCGAAATAATGTGAGCTCGGTTTTGAAGTTTCAAGCTATAAAAAACTTAAGTTTGTTTTGGGCCTCCCGAAACTGCCTAGTTGGTAAAGGCGGGGCATACCATGCTGGAGGTATTCTTCTTATTGTTAGAGTTCTATATGCATTTCAACAGTTATTAATGGAGAGCTGGAGGTAGTAGGCTCCATTTCCGATTTGGTCATAGAATTGTTAGGTGTGGAAATTGAACCACCCAATATACGAATGAGGTAAGCGTGATTGCCTCTCACCCCAGCAGGGCTGGGTTCAATCCCAGTCGGCACCACCGGGATGTTCTGAGGCATGACATCTCTGATCACGCCTTCCTTCGGAATGGAAGTAAAGCCATTGGTCACCGGTTCATGAGTTGATGGGTCGATAGAAAGGGTCCAGGTACGCCTCCCTGGCGTCGGTAGCATTGGTGCTCAGCACGGAAAACAAGATCGACGGAAAACAATTCGATGAAAAAACCCTGCTCGTAATCCAACCGTTTTTCGTGTACCGTTGCAAAATAGTCCCGAAGTCTATTCAATAATTTAGAGTAAGTGCACCAGTTTTGGCCATAGTTTCTTATGTTGTGTTTACCTACGAAAAACGATTAAATCACAATCTTCGTGCGTTTTGTGGGCGACTGAACCCGCTGAACAAGATTTGAATCAACAATCTTAACCCAACTTAAGATCTCATACATGCAAAAAAACGTGAAACATAATCAACACACCTACACTGCACCACCAGCAAATCTAAGGATTTTGTTCCTGTGCGGTAAAATATCAACTCATTCTTTTGAAAATGAAAACTGAAAACTATTCAGTCAAATCTCGCAACCTCTCACTTATCATCATTGTCATTCGTAAACGCTTCGATTTGACAGGTTAGATTGGTTCACTCATGAATCAATCGTATCGTTTCTTTGGTATGCTCATTTGAAAGATCGCACGTTCATTCAATCCATTATTCATGCCCAATCACATTGTTCATTTCTGTCATTTGATACAAAGAGCATCTCATTTGAGTCGGTCAATGTTTGTCAATTGATTTCCACGTGATTAAAGAAATTATATGTCGTTCAAAAAATCAAACCTTTCCGAACTGGTTACTCAATTCGTGCATTGCCATTGCCTCTTGCTGGATTGAAGGTGAAAAGTGCAACTATATTCAATTGAAGTACGAAGTCGACAATTTCATCCGGCACTTTAGATCACAGCACACGAATTTGGCCACACAACACGGATCAATGAGTGACCAGCAAAACAGTATTGAAAAAAAAAGCCTTGAAGCATCCCGAAAACATCAGTTCCTATCGATAAACAATTGTTGGTTGAGTCAAGTGTAAAACTTGTTACGTTTCACCATCTCCCGTTAACATGCTTCGAATGGGAGGTTCTACGTCATATATATGATCCTTTGGGTGCAGCACTTGGAATTAAGATGAATCGTCCAAATGTGAAAGCACACATTCACCAAGCAGTCTGTGCCTTTGCCGATTCAGCTACTCGGATGAATCACCATGTGTTGGGAATCGGCGTTCAATATGTAATGGTTAGTAAGATTGTGACGAGGAAACTTGGTAAGTTTGTACAAATTAGAAAAGGATAGTACCGTATCCGTGATAATGTTTGCACCATAATGTCAAAATTAAAAAAAAAATTATTCAAAAATTTCGTTTACGCGTTTATTTTATTTATTCAAAGGGGGCATGTTTCTCAGAGACTTAAACTAAGTTAATCATCGATTGAGTTTCCACTTGCTGCAATTACGGCCTCCACACGCTTCCAGAATGCACGGCAGGTTCTAATAATGTAGTCTGGATCCATTCTCTCCAGGTACGGGTCAATGTTTGTCTGAGGATTGTTGTACTCGGGTGGCGTTTAGTACAGGCCTTGGCCTTCATGACGCGCCATATTGAGTAATCCAGCGGATTAAGGTCGGGGCTGGATGGCGGCCACATATCCTTTGCCCAGAACGGAAGATGTTCCTGCAACCACTTCTGAGTGCGGTTCAAGGTGTGGCACGGAGCCCCATCTTGTTGAGATACAGCATTTGGCTTCGGACCGTACTGTTCTTTGATCTCACGGAAGAACATACTTACTTAAAATCCCGATGACTTCTGGAATGAACACCGGGTTCATTTTTTTGCCTTCGGAAGCCACCAATCCTAACACCATAACGTTAGCAGGATGCTTGGTCAAATAAACGTTCTTGTGCTCGTCGGCCACGTATTTTACCGGAAGAGAACTAATATACCGGTCGGTTCTGGAATTTGATACGGGATCGACGGTAAATATGCTCTTGTCGGTGAACAGGATTACCGGATTTTTTCGCTTAAGGAAGTTCAAGATTTTCTTGCATCGTTCGACTCGTAGCTCCCGGATGCGGTTGGTAATCATATGAGTTTTTTTGTCCGTGCCCTCGACTTCGCCCCGGAATCTTCCTTTACGATCTTCCGTGCTGTAAAGTCACTGATCCCGTGTTCCTTTGCCATTTTCCTTATTGAACGCACTGGATTCACCCGAATCTTCCTTTTGATTGCAGTGATAACCCTCGGAACCCGAGCTGACCTCGGACGACCTGTGGACACCTTCGCAGATAGTTGTCCTTTCTTTTTTCGGTCTAAAACCCTTTTGACGGTCCACCGGAACACTCCCACGGCGATTGAAATGTCTTTTTGCGACATTTGCGCGTGGGACAAATCACGAATACGCTGCCACTTCGTCATGGTGCAACTGTCAAACTAAGTAAATCATTTTCTTTTATACACAGCCTACTACGGTATGAGCTATAGGTTACGTGCATGCAAAGAAAACCAAGGCATTGTATGCACAGGTGAACCGGGAACCTTATTTGTACGATGGTGCAAAACACGGATACGGTACAAATATTCCGAATTGCCTAGTAAATATTTTTATAATTCATTAGTAGAATTACTATGCCAGGGTTTTTTTTTTTGTATCATTCTGTTTATCTCTCGTAGATCACTGGCGTGCACAGGGTGGGGCAAGGTGGGGCAATTGACCCCCTTTTATAAATAAGGTTTTACTTTCCCCTTATAAGTGATAAAGAAGTCCATAGAAGAAAATCTACATTTTCGTTTGAAAAGATCTGAACATTTTATCGGTGTTTTTTTTTTCAAAAAAAAATAAGCTCATAAATGATAAGCTAAGAAAAAATTGGTGCAAGGATGAATTTAAGCAATTTGTTTTAACTTAAGTACAAAAATATTATGAATTTAATGTATATACTTACACTGAAAAAAAAAACATTTAAAAAATTTAAGGTGATTTAAAAAAAAATATTCCATTCCATTAAATTCTTTATAGGAAAACAATCCAATTTATCACAAGTCGTCCATACATTGCAAGATAGGCACTTTTTTAGGAAAATAATTTTTCTAACAATAACTTTTTGATGTCTGGACTCAAAGAACTTAGAAGATGATGCTACAGCAAAATAATTTCTACCAGCACCCCCCCAAATTATAATTCTATAGAATAAAACATTCTTTGTGTATTTACGTTGGGAATTTTAGCAAGTTAATTTAAGGGCCCATTCATAAATTACATAGCGCTGGTGGGTAGTCATCAATACGTTACAAGTTGTTACAGTCAAATTAGGGGGGTTAAATCATAGCGGTAGCTCAAAGATCAGGGGGTCCCGAAGAAATATGCTCAGCTCTGGTACTATCTTCGGTTCCAAGCTAATTGAAGCACCCTTCAAAACATAGGAAAATCCACGAACCTCTCATTTTATCTGAAAAATTTTCCCAGAGAATCAAAACAAACAGATTGTAGTACTAGAATATTGACGAAAATGGTGCCTCCGGTTGGTTTGCGTTACACGTTACGGTAAGGGTTGGAGAGGTTATATTATACTTGTTAGGAAGAGGTGGGTGGGGTCGAAAAATGTCGTTTTCCGCTTTATGTAATTTACGAATGGGCCCTTAGTATCTAGTGTGCAGGTATGAAACAGTTCTTATTAGAATGTCATTTTTCGTGAGAGAGTGCCCATCTTGCAATGCATGGATGGATTGAAGATAATTCTAGATTGAGCTGGAATAAGGGTCTAACTACTTTTGTAATCAACAACTTCTCTTGATGGCTTCTGGGAATTCAGGACTCGCCCACACAAACCAATATCACTATCAGGTAGGGGAAGGCTTCGATGGTGATGTTGAAATAATCGAGAGAAGTCATTGCTTACAAAAGCAGTTATGCACTTATTCCAGTTCAATATAGAATTAAACGGTGTTTTCAAGCACACATTGCTTGATTTTAGTGAATGGAGTTTTCGAGATCAATCAATTTGAAATTTTATAATGGTGGTTATTTAGTGTAGCAATAAAAAACAAATTGTAATATATTTAAATAAATAATCGAACAATTTCCTATCATCCACCATTCAGCGAAATTTGTGTAGATGTTTTAATTTTTGAAAAATATGCTTTTGTAAAAAAATCGAAAAATATCTAACACTTCTATCTTATAGAATGATAATCTACACAAATCACGTTCAAGGATGAATTTCAGAAAATTGCTAGAACTAATGTATGTATGTATGTAAGGTAGCCGCCATCCCTTCAAGACTTGTCTTGTATGCAGCTCCACTTAATAGCAAGATCAATTTGAGCTACCGATCTGAATTCACAATATCGCTGTATGAAGGGCTAAAAACGGAAGGGCGGACCCGTAAGCAGAGACACTTACGCGAAATCCACGGGAATTTAAGAATCTCCTTCCAACGATACGCTCCAACAA